GTTTATACAATTTTAGAATTTTTACATGAAACTAATTTTTACTGCAAAATTTAAAATGATATAACTTAAGAATTTTGTATTTATATTTTAACTGTTTACATACTTTTAAATTTTTGAGTCCATCGGATGGGACGTTAAATGGTGCCCCGTGTCAAGGATAACAACCCCCATGGCACATAAAAGATCGTTTCTCTGGTTTTCGAAAAAGAGTAGGCTCACTGGGGCCGCCAGAGAAACCTAAAACTTCATAAATGGGCAAATACACTTAATTTGATCGCCGAAATATGGCTGAAATATTGCCGACTCGGCGCTAAACAATAATAATCAATCATTTGTCTTGATCTTTAGAAAATGTAAACAATGCATTCTGATTTGAAATTAAGCAATTTTATCAACATTTTCAATCCTAGTCTGAACTATACAAGCAATCAAAGTTCCAATGGTAGAAAAAAAATATTTATCTTAAACACGAGAATAATTTACCATCACCTACAAGAACTTAGTGTTTTGATCGTGAAAATACTAGTAATGCAATATAATATTGTAATTTTTGTAATTTTTTTTTTTTTTATCTTAAACCGGCATTATATACTATACAGTTTAACAATGTAACATTTAAGCCTTGAAGAGCCATTTGACCGATTTTAAAAAGTTTTAACCTTAGGAGCATAACAAAGAGTTTATTTTATACAGAGAAATGCAGTTTACAACAGATTACATGTCACATAATCAAAGAAATTCGGCAAAGATACAAGGAACTTTACAGATAAACCTTCTATTCTGGAATACATGTAGTCAGTGCATGACATCGCCAATTGCCGAAGATTGCTTATGTCCATTGAGCAATTACGGCTCTTATTTCTGCAAGAAACAACTGTGACATAGAACCTCTGCATGTTTATATGTCCCCATCCAATTAATTCCATCCATTCTATTTGTTCAAATGACCGAAACAGGTTTCTTTTAGGCACGAATTATTGATTTTAACTGCCGGGGGGGGGGGGGTATTAACTGGGTCATACTTTTTTCGCATGCTTCTCGTGTCAGATTATTAAATTAATGCAAGAATTCTGGTAGGTATTTACAATCAGAGGGTAGGCAAGTACCACCCCCCACCCCAGGCAAATACCCCTAATATCTTGATTTCCTCTCAACGTAACTTAAACTAGTAGTAATATATTTCTTCATTTTCTTACAGCTGTGCGTGGCATTTCTAATGAATTAGATATGTCAAATGTTCCTCACCTCTCCGTTGTAATTTTGAAAAATCAAAATATACTTATATATACATAGTAACCTTGTCCGTTATTTATCAACCATGTTATTTCAGTTGTAGGATCGCACATTAAGTGATGCCGATCGGCAAAATGTTTGGCATGATCGTGTACTCTGTTTTAAAAACATATGAAAACTTGTATACTTTTTAAGGTCAATTTCTACTTACATGTACATGTAGACGCACATTGTAAGTTACATGTTGACGGAATATTTAGTTTTAGCAAATGAAATGCTTCTTAATTTTTTAAGGACCTTGAAGGTGTTTATATATCTTGCACCAAATTCAAAGCACTGCCACTTGTTTCTGTATATTTTTAACCCATAGCATAAAAATAACATTATTACACCATGGGTCAAAAAATTATTACAGAAACAAATGCCTGTGATTCAAGTCATAAACACTGTAGAAAAATGTTGAAATAAAATCACAATAAAGGACAAAATAAGTTTCAATAAATCAAAGTCTTTTCATTTGATTGACTCAAACAATCCACAGATTGCATCCGAGTTGCCGTTCAAGGGTGGTAAGGACGAAGAAAACTTACTATTGGAAGTAACGTACGTCTTATTCGGTGTATTACAGGTTATTATTTATAACACGATTACAAAATGTGACAGGAAAAGATCAACATATAAACGTTTGAACAAATATAAAATAATAATAATATAAAACAATACAAGTGGTTCAGGGAAAGGTGTGAGTGTGCACAGACCCGTATAACGCGCGGGGGGGGGGGGGGGACCCCACTTTTTTCTGAGTTAAATTTTTTTAATATTAAATCTTTATTCGATGCTGCCCCACATCCTTTTTTTGCTGTAAGGTCAAGCACTGGCGAATTTAATGATTTTTTTAATGTGCACCAAAAAAAGTAAGAACCACCCCCACCCCCAAACATACGACATAGGATTTTTGCGTTCAGAACAATGTTGTTTTTTTGGGGGGGGGGGGGGGCTGTCAGATTTTTTGTGAAGATCCCCCCTGACTTTTAAAACTATTGCTACGGGCCTGGTGCATGTGATAATATGTAAGGTCGATCTACGTTCAAAAATATGTATAAGGTGTACGAACCGAAATTAACCGTTTTCAAGTCCGATAGAATTTCCATGTTTAAGAACACGTACTTTCACTGGTACATGTAGATCCCTAAAACTTATAAGTAGTTATTTATGAATCACTGTGTTTCAATTACACTGCATTTGTATATTTTTTACTTTACTCGTGTTGCGATCATTATATTATGCAGTATATACTTGACCCACGGGTACTTGACGTTACATATTGTTCTTATTTAAAAAAAATATAACCCTCTACCTAATCTACTAAAAATATTATTTGAGCAAAAATTTTGTGTGTTCTGTAAATGTATTTTTTTTTTTCGGAGAGGCCTGTCGTTGTAGAATTTGTTCTTTTATAATGTCTCTATTTTAACGATTTTCTGCAGAGGCGAAAAACCATTTATACCTAAGTTACCTACATTGTTTGTGACGTCACAGTTATGTTACATCATAGATTCAACGTAATAGAAAACTGTCACGGCACTGTACGTAATTTGAACTGGAAATATGTACGGCAGCAAAAGAGTTAATTAACAGACACAGTTTAAAATCAATTTAACTATGGAAACATTAGGTTATTCAAGTTCAAAATTGGTGAAAATTTTTGTTTGAACGTAAAAAACATATATCACGTTTATCTTCACTCAATTTTTATTTTATTTTATTTTTTTTAGCTCAGATACGCCATATATAGCTTTAAAGTTTGTAAATTCATAGCTACTTGTTTTATTTTTAATGATTTTCTAAAGCTTTTGTCTCAGAATTAGAGTATTGAACCAATTAAATGAATGTCATTTGACATACTTGCAACTATGAAAATATAATACTCGTCCTCAAACCATATTACATAGTTTGATCTTGAATTGAAAAGGTATATCTATAAATAGAAACAGGTGATTTCCTTTTAAATTCTTGAGTCGGCCGTGTCGTCGGAGAGGCAGCTATGTCTCTTTCTGTTAAAATTATACTGTTTCTATGGAGAAAACAATTTGCTTAATAAGATCAACTACTTTGTAAATCATATTATAGTTCAGCATACAATATTTTTCTGAAATTGTTAAATATTTCAATTTTATATAATTCCTGTTATAGGATCAGTTTAATTTAGATCGGGATAGACTCAAATTTTAAGGTTATCATTTTTTCTTTAATTTCGCAATTTTTGTATCAATTTCTTTTTAAAATATGATTGTATGATTTCTTTTTATATGTAAAATGTTTCTAGAAGATTTACACCATCGATTTACAAAAATATGTAAATAAGTTAAGATTTTCATTTTCAAATATTTTTTATTCAAATATAAATGAGTAAAATATATACCTGGCTCTCCCTGATGTGTTTTATGTTTGATTAGATTTTATGATATGCATTAATTAACAGCAAATTTGAAGAATTTGAAAATTTTTTGCAACATAAATAATATTCCCCTTTTCTCTGAACCCCCCTCCCCCCAACAAAAAATGAAAGTCCGCAATGAATACTTAGAAATATGTGAATATACTCTATATTATTTGTTTACCTCACATTTGTATGTATTAATCATGTTAATTTGTTTTATGTTATTATTGTTCATGACTGTATGCCAACATGGTAATTGTCAATAAAGTGAATTGAATTGAATAAGAGTTTTGATGGTGAAATCATATTTCAAAAGAGGTACTTTAAACATCCAGTAAATAATAGTTTGGTGTGGTATACTTTCTTAAAACATTTCAGTGTAAGAAAATCCTGAATAATATTAACTGATGAGTAATGACAGAATATAACCAATAGACAAGATAAAAACAAAAGTAAACATTTATAAAACATTTTAATTATTATTTTGTTACATCTGCATACATGGAATGAAATACATGACAAAAATCTATAAATAAAGCTGCTGTACTTCTGTCCATCAGTAAAACAACTCATTAGTGACATTATTGCTGTATTATATATATAGGCTGATTCAATGTATGTGTGTGTATAAACTTCTGAAGAGTTAAAAAAGAAAAATATGATGTTAGTATCAAGTATGTTTTGCTTAAAATGAATTTATAAAAATGCACTGATTGAGGGGAAAAAAAGATCTTTTATAGGATTGTAAGTCACAGATTGCAGATCCATTCATTTTGGTTCTGTGGACATGCATATTACTTTGTATTTGTGAATTTATTTGTTCATTTGAAATTTAGTTAACTTTTTTTTTTGATTGTATGGCAATTTCAAGAGCATATATGCATACATTATAACCACTAATAAAATTCTCATGAACACAAAAAATGAACTTCAAAGAAACTGATCAGACAGACCAGAGCAAATGAAATTATAACCAGGAGTTAACAGGAACAAGTATTACATATCTGGCATATGTTTTGATAATTATTAGATGAAAAATTTAATTATCAATCAAATTTGAACAAGAGTAAAGAGGTATAACAAATACGACTATAGAAACCGATTATATTTCAGTACATCCAATAACATAATAAATATATTCATATTTCATAACAAAAGAATATTGAGTATCAAACAAAAATTTGGTACTATACATGTATATATAAACAAATATTATCACAGTCAAACATTGTATTGTAAGTTCTTTTGGTGATTGTATCTTGAAACAGTTTTAATCAAAAATTTATTTTAAGGATGCATTCTGCTCAGATAACTTGTATTTAACTTTAATTTAATTTACTCAGTATTTGAAATAAGAAAGAGAAAAATATGACCTAGTGAGCATGTTTTTGAGATATTGAAAACTGCATTGAAAATATGGCAGGAAACCAGACTTCTTGGGTTTTTTCATAGACAATGAATAAAAAATTTCTTTCTCTGAAAACATGATCTATTTGCTGAATAGGCTATCAAAACAACAAAGAATCAAAATGTGAATAGATCATAGGGGGTTAGTGGGTAAAAAAATTTTTGATGGATAAATCCTGAGGAGTTCCGTAAACTATGACCAATTAGCAGAACACATCCTAAAATTTTTTTTGTTTTTGGTGTCTCCTTACACGTAAGGATTTTGTCAAGAACACCAATGAACTGTCATGTTAAAGCATCTTTCTTGTAAATAAACATCATTTTCCATACTGTAATTAATAATTTACATGAAACAACACAACCTACACTAAGTATTGGCACATTATATATTAGTTATATTTAATAAAAACAACCATATATAACCTAAATTTGATCCCGCATTTTGTAAACAGATTTTAAAAAAATTAGTCCCCACTCTGTAAACAAATTTTATAGACACATTGAAAACAGATTCTGTAAAAACAACCTTGATATTCTGTGTTTTGTTCAAAACTTTATATGATCATATTAAACCATGAACAGGAAACATTGAAACACCTTAATAGATACCACACATGCCTATGGAAAAAAAAAAGAAAAAAAAAAACAATGCTTCAACAATCAAACAGCTCAATGAAACAAGATATGGGACACTGACCTAGATTAATCCATTAAAATGAATTACGATAACAGTTTAAATGCAATGTTTGTAGATGACATTTTGAATTCTTATACTTTATTTTTGCTCTAAAGCCTTGAGTGATTTGAGCAAGCCACTGATGAGTTGTGCGAGATTTGTGGCTTGTCTCATGAGATATCTCATATGAGGATCTGTTATTGGTTTTCCCACTGCGGCTTGAGCCGCATTCACTGTGCTCTTGTAAGCATTGGTCATCTTGATGACTTCAAAACCCAGATGTTGTGCCTGATGAATGGCCTCCATCATAATCATGGTGGCTTGTGTATGGAGAAAGATTCTGGCTAGAGTGTGCATACTATTATTTAAGTTGACGGCCATTTTTTCTTTGGTTTGAGATGCATTGCTGACCAAACATTTAACATCCATGACAAAATTTTTCACTTGATTTGTAAGTTCACCTTTACACATATCAAACTGAGTTGATTTTCGGTCAATGCGCGAGTCCTTTAGTGTCTCCATTGTCTGTTTTAGCTCAGACAGCAGTCTATCAGCATCTTTGGTGGCACTTCCAAATTCCTCTGCTTTGTAAGTTCTAGACATGATCTGTTTTACTGAGTCTGAGTGACTTACACTTATGCTGTCTCTCACTACTGCGTGACTTTCCTCTGATAGCGACCCCTTTCTCTCCCTTGTGACACCTGTTGATATCACCTGAGGTTTAGACTTGCCCTGAGTCACTATTACTGTCTCTTCCTTGGGTGGAGTTTTCCCTGACGACATATCACGGAGAGCATCAAAATTATTATACACTCTGAAATTGGTCTCCTCTGAGTCTGTCTGTCTTATGCTGCTTTTTGACATGGACATAGGTCTCCACATATTGGACACAGTTCCAAATGGATTTTCCTTTGGTCTTTTTTGTGGCTGTAAGGCCAGAGAAATGTCATCCTTGCTTTCTGTAGTGGCGACTGGTTCCTGTGTTTTGGATGGAATGACAGGTGCTGTCTGTGTTAGGGCTTGTTCTGATGAAATAGGCGATGAAGAAGGAGATGGTGTAGATGTCGGTGATGAGGACGTGAAAACTGAAGAAAGCGCCTTTAAAGGTCCTGACTTCCGCAAGCCACTGCTCTTCTGAAAAGAGGAAAACACAACTTCTGTGAGATAATAAACAAAGTGAATTAAATTTTCTTGCATAAAATTCAAACAAGAGATATATATATATTTAATTAAAACTGAAATGTACCTAGCATTTAATAATAAAGAAAATTTCACAAAGGATGATGCAACATGCACATAAATTTTACACTCAATACTACAACATATCACAGTGGTTATTATTGTTGGTACATTGTATACACAAAACTCTTCAGAAAATTTAAAAACCTTGTTAATGAATGGTGTTTAAATTTGGAAATGTTGAGTTATTTGTGCTTAAGACATTAAAAAAAGAACATATACTGTATGTAGACATGTGGACCAAGATGATATTCTCCAAATCGAGGAACATGTGACATGAAATACCGTATATACTCGCCTATAAGTCGGTTGTATTTTTTGAGGTTATTTGGGAGGGATTTGCTATTGACCCGCTTATAAGTCAGTACAACTTTTGCCAGAATCAGTTAACAATTTCAAATCAATGCTCTGATCTTTTAACCTGGTTTCGATTAATATTTCTAGAAATGACGCCGATATTTAATTTTAAATCATCAAGAAAAATACACTTAAAAATACACTTAAGATAAAAAAAAGTTATCAAAATGTGTAAATACTTGTAATTAATATATATTTTTAGAATACATGAATGATATAATACATCCAGGCTTTGTTCATTAATAATCGTGGAAAATGTTTATAAAATTCTACATTTCGCCGTCCTGAAAAATACTTATCTTTATATGACTCGCCTATAAGTCTGACATAGAGATTTGGACCAGAATTCAACTCCCAAAAAAACGACTTATAGGCGAGTATATACGGTACATAATGATTGATACTTCAATCTCCATGAACAGGAGACTAGAAATTACCAGTAAATCAAGAACTCCTCAGTACCTCCAACTGGTGAAGAGTTTTCAAATTTAACATGAAATTGACTAAATAAATTTATAAACATCGAATCTATAACAAAGCCTTAAAAATTATTCTCACACTTCTCACTATAAGACTACTAATCTCGTAACAAATAAGCATTTGATTAACTTATGACCTCAAAGGTCTATGAATTTAAGCTATGTGCATAATTTATCTTGGTTGACTTTAACCTTGATATTTGTCTAGTTGCCTAACTCCAAGAAAACTCTCTCAAAACCAATGGATAACGATTAAGATCCCATACCTTACATAATCAAAGCATTTTGTTCTGGAAGGCATATTATTAAGATGTTTGAAGTATCACCTTATTATTGGCAAGATCTTTCTGCATAATTCCTAAAGAATGCCAGTCATCTTTTAAGCTGACTCGCACTAAAACTTCGAGATTCATTTCTCTAATTTGTAAAAAATGTAAATGATGGAGAGCTCAGTAAAAAGTAAAGTCCTTTCATCCTTATTTCTGTCATGTCATTGATGGTTTTAGATTTAGTTTTAAAAAAAATGGAAGATTTAACAAATTGCTTCTTATTACATCCCTTCAATAAAGCTGTATCCGAAACATAACAGAGTTTTGTACTTACTTTGAGCTTAAACAGTTTTCTAAACTCATCCATTTTTAAAAATGAGCCTTATACAGATCAGAAATGAGGACAGAAGATATTTTTAAATCAATATTGACAATGGGAATTTAAGTTCAAATCTTTGTTATTGCACTGTTAATTAAAACTTTAAACCAGTAGAGAAATAGAGATCTTTTTGTGTTCCTAACCTTGTCATTAACAATGATTGCAGCTGTTAAAGGTAGTTTTACATACAAGATTCAGTTTACCTTCTTCAAATATTTTTTGTTCTTATTGTCAGGAAGCCATTCAGCAATAGTCTTTTTAGGAATAGAACTATTAAAGTTGATTGAATTTAATATACTCCAGAATATATATGAAGTATTGAATATGTATCCCCTGAGTTGTGACAACATACTAGCCCATGCAGTCAGATTTGCATAACATACATGCAGAAACAATTGTAATTTTTATAGATATAACTCATGGACAAGACATAGTGCTTATTCAAGTGAATTTCAATGTGCATTAAAGTGATTCTCAAGTGAGATAGAAATTGCATTTGTTTCTGCAGGCCTGGCTTACATTCTTTCTGATGCCTATATCACTCTACTACTAAAAGATTATAATTATTATAATTCTAGATATATCTGTATACTGCAGCTTACATTGTATTGTGATAATCAGAACATAGTATTTACAAAACACAAGGATAATGACAAGACATTGCTTCCATACATTCACTCCTGACATATGTTAGAAGACAACGAGCTTAGAACCACAATGTTGGACATACAATCAATGCTGCCTCTGTTTTACAATATGAAATTAATACAAAGTCATCACACATATTTACCATAAACTTTCTTTCCTTTTTTCTGGTTTAATTTTGAAAATTCAGAATCTTGTTAGATATATTGCATTCAATAAAACAGAGCAGAATTGAATAACACCACCATAACCACTTGGTCATGCACTTTTTACAGAGAAAAAAAAAGTCATATTTGTTACCTCCTCACCACCTGATGGGGTGGGCGTGTCTGCTTCCTGAAAGAGTACAGGGTGTTACAAAAAAAATAATCAAAAACATTATAAAACACCTAATATGTGGATCCTCTAAAAATATTAATCAAACACTCCCAATGTATTTTAAGATTTTGGAGGTGAGAGAATCAGACATTTTTCTTCTCCATTTGGTCATGATTGATCTGAAATTTGATTCTGAAGCCAAAACATACAGGATATGATGAAAGCAAAGCGCATTAATCATACATCATACATGAAAACAATGATTCAAACTTGACATGCATATAATACACATAGCAACAGGCAGCCTGAAATGCCATAGTGGAAAATAGAAGGCACAGATGGCAAGACCTGTGCTTTAGCAAAAGAGACCAACTCTTAAATACTTCTTATATTCATTTATTTAAAAAAATAAACAATAAAAGACCAGTGCTGTGCTTTGGAGTATAAGAAATGTGGTCAGCTGGATTCAGATATATTGGTTGTTTTGGAGGGAAACAGTGCTTCAAGATTTGGCTTTTTAAAACCAGTCAGTTCATATTCTTCTAACAATTACTAATTACTTGTATACATCTAACACACAAAAATCTAATAATACATCAACTTCTACAGAACAACATCTTTAAATATTAATTTAAAAGATCTTAACTTAGAAATGTTAAAGACCAAAACTTAATTTGAATATCTTGATGGTGAATTTTGGAGAACAACTACCCGGTATTATTTTTCTATGGGATAACTATATCAAACTGTCATAGGAACTTCCCTATTCTATAAAATGTTAGTATAACACCCAATTGATATTGTACATATTTAGTATTACATGTACTCTGTAAAATTACATTTTAACTCAATCAACACTGATTTTTGCAAGAAAAATAAGAAATATATATAGTGAAATGCAAAAAACACACACACTGCTTGAAAAAAAAATCTAAATGAAATTGGTGGCACACACGTTATGGAAAAGGTGTCATGATATGTTTCATAACATAACCATTACTGACCTTCTTCTGAAGGGGAAACGTGTGATGCTGGAAGAGAAAAGGTTTATTTACATGCAAGAAAAGGGTAAAATGTGTGAAAGAACAATCATTAAGAGCTCCTCCCCAGTTTTTTTTTTCTTGTTTTTTTTTTTCGGTGCTGGCAGAGAGAAACTGAAGAGTGAGTTATAATCAGTTCCCTCTTTCAGAGGTTTGTCAGGGGAAAGAACTCTACATACCAGCCATACACATGTGAAATCAAGCTTGTCTGTCTCCTCGAGAATAGACTGCAACTATATATTTAGTGACATGCATTTTACAGAAGTTAAGTGACATGCTTCATATTATCACTTGAAAATTATGAACAAAATTAAAAAAAACAAAACAAAACAAAAACATACACGTTATTAATAAACCTGGATTCAACAAATAAAAGACAACATGATTGCGCATATGAAAACTATTGATGTGGAATTTCCGTTATGCTTTGGTGATGTGTTCTAAGTGATAAGCTTGACCTGATTACATTAAGGTATGCATAATAAAAAATCTTTTCTTGAGTAGTTCATAAATTACCTGTGTAGTTGTTGAGGTATGAGGACGGAATGATCTTGGAGCTGCCAACTGATTCCAGAGAGCTGGAGTTTTCTTGTCCTCTTTGTCGTCTTTGTTTTTTGATTTCCTGTCTCGCCGTCTGCTTCTGTTCAATACCACATCATTACCAGACTTTTGATCATCAGAATCAGAGGAACTGTTTCTTCTTCTGAGATAATTTAAAGTGAAGGAATTGGACCTCCTCAGGGGCCCATCTTCCTTTTTCTCCTCTGTTTTTCGTTCTTTCTTTGAATTGTTGGACTTGTTTAAAAGATAATCCCTGTATGATTGCAGTTTAGCCTTTAGGGAAGAAAAACTTTCAGTCACAGCTTTTTCAGGTTCCTCCCCCACCTCTTCCTCTTTGGGGAGGATGTCAAACGAATTAGTTCTGCGTAGATGTCTAGAATATTTAGAGCTCACTGTTACATCCCCCTTTGTCTGCCTGACCTCCTGACTAGATTTCTCAACCTGACTTGGAGCATCCACTGAATGCATTTTAACGAGTTTGCCACTCGTCAAATCAGTTTTCACTATCCCATTAGGAAGATTTGCCTTGTCTTTGTCATACATTGGTGAAGGTTTTGAAAGACGTAAGGATGAAGTTCTTCGCCACTTGTAATCGTTTTCGTTTTCTAATTTTGGTCCTAAATTGGGAATCATTTGTAACAAAGTGTTTAATTTTTCTGACACAGATCCAGGGGAATCACTTTCTTGACTGTCCTTAACATTTGAGGTAGTTTTTTCTGACTCTGTCCTACAGTCTGATTTCCTTGAATTGCCTGCTTCATTCTCACTAGCAATGGCTTTTGTGTCACTTAATGCACCAGATTCACTTTTTAAATCTCCTCCCTTTTCACCACTCTTTCTTACATCATTATTATTATGCTCATCCTTTGATACCTTGAAACACAAAGTATCCATAGAATTTGAACGACGGTGGCTTAAACGACTGTTCATGTTTTCCCCATCCTCAGAAATGCCAGTGACTGGGGGAACAATGGGGATTTGATCAAGTGACACAGAGGCTTCCCCAGGGGGAGGTGGAATAACTAAAGATTCCAGGCCCTCTTCAAATGCCTCTACACTGAATTCCTCCTCTGCTGAATGGACAGTCTCTGGTCCACTCCAAGTGTGAGCGAGATGATCTATGTGTTCCATGGAATCCTCAGAGGATGGTGGTGGAGGTATTGTTAACTGGGCAATTAGTTGATCTATATCTGAGTCAAAGAAGTCTGGGGTAGCACCATCACTGACTGATCTCTCAAATGGCGGGGTGACAGGATGTGGTCCCTCATCCCTGGGCCTAATCACTTCTGCTACAAATAAATTGTCAAATTTTACAACGTAGAAAAGATGTATTATTGGATATTATTATTCAAGGCAGGATTTTACAGAAATGGGATTCATTCAAAATCAGGGACTGCAAATTGAGTTTTGTTGAATTATATCTATAATAATGATTCAGTAATTATTTACAAAATACCTGTTTCTAAGGTCTGACTTTCCTCAGGTGTTGAGGAAAACTGCCAAAGTTTCATAGACGCTTGTTGATCTAGTTCCGGTGGCTCTGATGTGGGAGGGGGTGGGGGAGGAGGCATCAATGTCAAGTCTGAGGAAAAACATGATACCAGTTTCTAAATCATATCGAGAATCAAAAAAGAACATAAATGATTTTTTTTGTACACCTTTTGGTAACAAGCATATTTAACAATAATTCAAAGTTATTGTTTTCCCTACATATCAATTTCATCATTCAGAAATTCATTCTTATTCCCAACAACACACATCCAAGTCCAATAACTCTAACATGACTTACCAATGATATCTGGGTCAAGATAGAGCCTCCTTTCTGAGAACATTTTGGGATTGAGAATTCCTTCTTGGATCTCTGGAGGGATTTTGTCTGGACTCAGCAAACCAAAACTGGATGCAATGACTTCAAAATCAGACTCTGTTCTTGGTAACTCTGTTTCCGGATCTGCATCTAAACATAGGACCTCAAACATTAGGAAACTTATCAAACATGTATTCTTGTAGAATTCTTTTTTTTTTTCTTTTCAAAAGCTTTTAAATATGTTTCAAAAGTTAACACAATACAAGGAATATCAAACATAACAATATATGCATTACTAAGTTTTTACTTGGATTTAAAAGGTTAACACCTTTTATTAATATATCATAGGGTATTGATATTAGATACTTATGGTAAGGATTGGGACACAGTGTTATTAAAATAATGCAAATATTGAAAACTTCCACTTTGATTTCCATTGTTTATAAGTTATGACAGCCAAAAGCTATACTGAGTATATGACATACTGTTAAGCTGTTTTGTGTGAGAGAGATCAGTGGAGGTTAGTACTTACAAAGGTCCAAACCAGAGAGAGGATCAGTGAGAGAGGACTGTCTACCTTTAGCAGGACTATTGGCAGGGGTCCCCCAGCTGTCTGTATCACTGCTCTCCAGTTCCTGTCCACGTCCCCCCTGTGGAGAGTAATCGTCTAGAGGAACCTTCTTCTCGGACTCCACCCCACTATCTGTATCAGATGATTCCTCCTCATTCACCGTGGAGTGAACCTTGTCATCTCCAAATATTTCTCCATTTGATACCACTGTTTGTGGGGTCTTATCAGTCTTTGGCTTTTTGGTATTGGGTGGCGTTAATTGTTCTTGTGTTTCGGGTCGTTTGATTGGAGCTTTCCTCTCTTTGGCAGCTAGGTACTCCTGAATGTCATTAGGATCTGATCCAATCACAATCACACTCTTATTCACATGTTTGGGAGATGTGTCACTTTGTTCTGAATCTTTTACAAGGGAGATCACTCCTTCATTCACCTCGGAATTCTTTGGCTGAAAGTAGGGGGAAAATTCAAGTTGAATAATCTGACACACTTCAAATTGAGGTTTTCACTTATTTAGTATTAGATATCAAGGTTCAAGTATTCTTAAGTCATAAAGTATTATTTATTGATTTGTGATTCTTTGTGAAGATGAAATTTTAAAAGATTTAAAGTTTACAACTATAAACATTAAATTCAATTAAAACATTCCTTTTCGATAAAAATATTTATGGAGCTTAGCCTCCATATCCAAGAACTGGCCAGGGAAAAGATTTTATACTACACACATCCATAATTTTAGTGCTGTTTCTTTTTTTTCTATATTAACACGAAATAAAACCATGCAAACTACACTGCTCAATAGAGGGAACTTAAATCTGCCAATTCAAATGATGGCAAAAAAAAAGAAGAAATTCTTTTTGAAATAAGAAAAAAAAACATGAGTGAAAACAAAACTGTATTTTTGGTAAATGTTTCATATCTGGAATTTCTCTATAGTCTACCTGGATGCCTAGGTCCTCTTTAATTTTTGTGATAAAGTTGCTATCACTTCCATCATACACAGGTGGTCCCCTGGCAAAGTTAACGATTCTCTCATTCTCCGCTATCTCTGTGGAATCATGGTCTGCCTGGATGACGTGGGTCACAACGTCCTCTGGGTAACTCCAGGGAGAGGCAGACACACGGTGTGTTCCAAAGTATGGGGGAACTGAAAAAGGAAATTTACATGGTGAAAAGGGAATTAATAATATAATTAAAGATATTTACTTACCTCCACTCTTAAATAAGGCACTATTGATTATAAAATTAAAACAAACAGCAAAAGAATTTAACATATAACTTTTTCAAGCAGTCTTTTTTCACCTTAGTTTAAATTGTTCCTTGGGTAGTATCCTGTTTTAAATTAGTTTATTGATCCCTTGTTTTGCCTTAAATACCCCACACTGATCTGTTTCCAGAGTGTCCATTAATAATGTAGACAACAGTGAGAGTAAAATTACATTTCACAGAGGATATCTCTCCAATTAAACTTCAAACTGTAACTGTAGTCTGAGAATAATGGAACTACCCCTGGCAATTCTAGCTATATTGGCAGCTACGGTCCCACTAATTAAGCAGTATAGATACTGCTTAGAATGGGTTCACACCTATTTACACATAAACTGTCCATCCATGAAATTCCATAGGCATCTATCTATATATCTATATGGACACACGAAGCTCGTCAGTTTCCATATAAATAATATGGCAACACCAGGTTAAAAATTCCACACATAAGAATGAGTGAAAGGCTAAATAATACTTTGGCCCATAAACTCATCAATGACTAAAATTTAATTGTTAAGTATTGTGTGTCTGACTTGTGACAAATTAATCGGCATAAAAAATATTTTAAAGCGGATGTGTGTAATGTTATTACTACCCAAAATGTTATTGTAATCTGGCATAACTGCCTTCATTCCAGGGAGTTCAATGGTGCAGGGACAATAGGCTTAGCGAGTAATAAGGCGTCATGATTAGTGTTTTATTGGCGATCAGTGGAGGAAATCAAACAAATGAAGATTGTGATCCCCTAGAACAACCCCCCAGTCCTTCCACAAGAAGGTGCTAAATGCAGAGTACAAACGAATTTATTAAACCAGCCACTGATCCCTATATAGTTATGTATTAATACAAGTCAAATACACAGTTTGTGAATTACATAACTTATTCAACACTATATTGTTACTTTGATTGGAATAAACTGATATGTAGTATAAAGTCCACTTATCCTTAGTTTAAGACGTTTTCAATCAGTTAAATTTGGACCAAGTATAAATACAAACGTTATGTAACATACAGAAAACCAAACCTTTGAGGAATCTCAAATACCTGAAGTGATCGAGACAAACTTCAAATTACACTTTCCAGCTACTATTAAAACTAGATCATTTAGTTTACTGCATGAAAATCCATAACAACAGACTTATTTTTCCATAAAAAAGTGATGAACTTTCAATTAATCTACATATCACGTTATTCAAATGAAATTTAATTAAGGTAGTCCAATCCCCAGGTTCATTTAAATTAGGCATTGAATAATTGAAATTGCTCATAAAAATGTCTGAATTCTCAAAGTAATGTGTATTTACCCAAAGTAATTCTTCAAATTTCATCATTAAAGTTAATCATTATATCGGAAAAATTGGTATACACTGTATCTTAAAAAATAAATTTTCAGGAAATGCAAATAAAAACACATACTATGCATTTTCTAATTAATTAACAAATATATTTTAGGATAACAAATTATAGGTATCCAGGTATTTGAAGAAAATTGCATGATTTTTATACTTATTTGGTTCTTTAGTTTCTTCTATTAACATTGGTATCTAAGGCTAGATTAAAGGAAATTGGATTTTGTCAAAGATGTATTTTTAAAAACACTTCTATTGGGTACAAATATCAACTTTTTATAAGACCATTTCTAAGACTTCAAAGAACCTTGAATCTCGTTGAGATGCATGAAATGAAAATTGTTGTGTAACAGGGTTAAAAGTGATGGCTATGTGTTGTAAATAGTGAGGCTACACTCCTACTAGCACTAGCTAGTGGGTTAACCCTTTAGCTCAGTTGGTAGAGCGCTGGATTTTAAATCTGAGGGTAGTAGGTTCAAGCAACAGTAGCAATAAAATACTATTAACTGCTAAAACTCAGGAGGAGATAGAAATCTTCCTCTAAATTGTTGTGAACAGAATTTTTTAATCCAATAACGTGGACACTTTCCACCCTACTGCAACAAAATGTATGTAGGTGGGTGGCTGAAGGGGGGGGGGGGGTGCATGGTGTTCGAATGATATAATATTATAATAATGGAATCTACAGTAAAACACTATTCTTAAAACAACTGTTTACGCAAGAGGAATAAAATCAGTAGTAAAGATACTTCATAAGGCACCTATAAAGTAAGGCAGCTATAAAGTGACATAGTCTAGCTGTCTAGTCACACACTTCAGTCTTACCAGGCTAAAGGATTTTAATTTTAATGGGTGACATATAAATACAAAATATCAAACACCTACATAATAGTAACATTGATTTAGGGCCAAATTGTAGGTAAAACTTTTATACATTTTCAGTGATTTTTCTACATAACACGGCTATTCCACTTATCATTGCAGTTACAAGGAACTGACGGTCATGCAATTATGAAATGCCTTCCAATTCCCATCACAAGCAATCCTACTATATAATCAGTCCGTGAAATATGGCGATCAATGGTTCATCCTTTGATGTCTGAAACTTTCTTAAAATTTTCGTTCTTATTTGTCAGATTAAACAAAGAACAGAGCAGGCCAGCACATGACTTGTTTAGGGATTAATTACATTAATACTATAATCTAAACATCAATAATTGCTAAAGATTATCTGGTATGAGAGATTATACATTTCTCCTTGAAAACATTTCACAATTTTTCCATGTAAAATACATACTGTACATTTCCTTGCATGGGACTAATTTATGCCATATAAGTGGTCACAAATTTTTTGCAGAAATTGTCACAGCAGCTAAATAAACTGATTTTATCACAAACAATGGCAATCTAAGAAATCTTATACCCATGGATTGAACAGAAATGGTGATTTTGTGGAATTTTGACCCCCTGGAAAAAAGTACATCTATAGCACCCAAAATAAATTTTACATCACCTTATTAAAAATGTACCTGTTCAGAGATTAATCACTTCCTGGGACTATAGGCCCATTCAGCTAATTATAATGAGTATTTCCCTATAATCTTACAGACAAAGGTTATCTATATGACATGTTTAAGTTCCCCAATTTTGCTTCAAAATGATCATCCAAAGAAAACCTTCAATAATCTTGAGCTTATCAAAATGGCCTTGATTCAATTTCATTAAAACACTTCTTGACATGAAAAATTCCTAATGTTTCTGAGTTTCTAAAAGTTTTATCCCCAGAAGAATGACATACTTTCTCTTCTTATACTTGTCCAAATGACAAGAATTCTTGTTGCTTCAGATCCAACTGTGGGTCAGAATCTTCATTTCTTGTAGTCATTAGTCAGTCAAAAATTTTAACAATTTCCATGGTGATTCACATACCGGTACAACAAATGTTCATTTTATGTCTGTTTTTTTTCCAGTTAACTTTCACATGATATCAACATCTTGTTAAAGAAACACAATTTATCTACCTAATGCAAAGCAACTTTGATCATGATGACAAAGCCAGGCCATGTATTTTATTAACTTACAGCGTGGCACACTGACCTTTATAAGCAAACTAGAAATTTTGAAATCTTACTGTGAGGAATTAGTATTTAAACACTTTTTTAAATAATACAGTTCAGAATGTAGAATCATGATTATACAAATGGAAAAGAAAACCTCTGAAAGCTAGCAATACTGTATACAATATTGCAGTGTAAATATTATATTTACTATAAAGAAGCAGACTTTACTACAACATCATGGTCATGTGGCAAACTGCATATGATCCAAAATAAGTTGTAAAAGTTTATTCAGCAAAGCATTAATTATATATATATATATATATATATATATATATATTTGGGATGTCAAATCGGTCAATATTTGATAATCGGTTACTCGGACAATTTTCCGATCGAGTACCCGGGTACTCGGAAAAAGTGTGCATACATGAAAAGTTTGTTGATTTTATTGAGATCTGTTTACCCCATCAATGTTTTCTTTCCTTTATAATGCATGTATGCATGCACATAAACATCGAGCCCAACAAAAACGATTTTTTGGTATATGCACTTAATTTTTGTATCAAACAAACACATGATCAATTAATACACCAAGAATTACAAATGCTTTACAGTTCTTGTTTAGGAAGATAATTTGATTAATGGTAGAGAAGGACGATCCTTTGTATTGATTAGACTATAATGATAGAGAATGTCTTTGGGAATGGACGTTGTCGTGATCGCGGGTCGTACATGTATATTATTTACATTTCCAAGTTTTCTATTGATAACTCTGAAAGTTAAGTATGTTGATTTCTCGATATTTACAACTTTACCCATTATGCATAAATTATCCCACTGCCGTTGATGCTCTAACATACCCAGCAAACTAGACAGCAATTCCTTAAATATATGTTTGTTTTCCCCGTACACGCTAATTTACTATGCACATTTGACTTTTAACATTTTTTTTAATCTTGGTTCCTCGGTTATTTTTTAAATATTTCTTCACTTTAGAATCAGCAGCGATATTTCTATGTATGTCCTATTTCGCTACCGTATGCTAATTAATTAATCTAAGGATAATTATAGATCATAATTAAAAGATGTTCATTGCAAACAAATAATTAAAGCCATTCAAAAATTAGGGTCACAAAAGGTGAGAACAGCTGTGTACGGTGTCCAGTGATTGGTCACCGTAATTATTGTATACACCTGTACACAGCCACAGACGATAACGGGTATTAACTGGTGTAGGTGACACTAATTACTGTATAGACATGGACGATGAATATTTAAATCACATTTTTTGATAAGTTTTTAATAAACATATGCACTTTGAAATATGAAAAAAAATATACATCCGAGTAACCGAGTACCATTATTAGTATTCGATACTCGGACGTTCGATCGAGTACCCGGTTAACTATATATATATATATATATATATATATATATATATATATATATATATATATATATATATATATATATATATATGTATATATATATAACAAACTATAAATTCATAAAATTTAATACAAAACACTTTTCCCAGAGAGTGTGCTCAACCTGTTTTAATGTACATGTATATGAACAAATCTCAGTTGATTATCTTTGATATATATTTGAAATTATAACTTTGACTTCCTTAATAAGACTGACATTTATTATTAGAAGTTTGTGCAGACTAATTACATTGTGTAACAGATCATTCAAATTTTGCTGATGTTTTAATTTTCAGTGCTTTTGCAGTGGGGTATAATCTCAAAAAGTTGATAATGATACGAAAAATAAAATTGAGATATCAAAATGAAGCAAAAAAGGATTTTGCTTAAAAACATGAAAATAAAGTGTATGACAGCAATACAAGCTGTAAATGGTAACTGATTTACAGACAGACTCACCATCAGGGTCTGAGCTTTGTTTACTGGCAGGTTTTTCCACCAGACAAACATTGTCATCCACAAATATCCGGTAATAACCCTCTACCATGGCAACAAAATTCATGGCCTCATCCTTTAGAAGGCCAAAATTTAACATCTGGAAATTTGAATTAAACCATGTCTTTTTAAAAAATGATCATTTTTAGCAACATCACTTTACTTTGACATTAAAGGTTTAATTCTGGTAATTAAGTCAAAACATTAAAAACTTAACTGGATATCTTATTTCTTTATATGAAATCAAAATATTTATTTGAAATTAGTCATTTTAATTCCAATTTTATGAGAAGAAAAAAAAAAGCTTAAGATCAACAGGCATCATCTACATTCAAATACCTACCCCTTCTTGATTGTCACTTTTGATGGTAATTTCTACTTTCTGTATGTTGTCCTTTTCTTTAGCAACTTTAATTTTCTGAATTTGGTCAAACTCAGCTAGCACAGACAACTACATAGAATAAAAGTAAACGTTTGAAATAAAGTAAGTTGCACCAAAGATCCATGCATGGATTCTCATTCAGAGGATGTCATTTATTTGAATACACTGAAAGATTACCGTATAAAGTTTGATGTTGGTAATGAGCCCAATACCAGACTTGGGACCAACCAAGATCATAGCTTCTGTCATTTTATCCTACAAAACAAAGAATTAGTCATCACAAAACAATGCTTTTAAAGAATATGTCTAAATGTGATATATAACAAACAAGAGGCCCATGGGCCACATCGCTCACCTGAGCACATTGGCTTGAATTTTAAACTACCTGATGATGCTTCCATGTCAATATAACAAATGGCTTTGTCGTACTTGAGAAGATTTTAAAAAAATTTTCCCATATATTCCTTTGTTAAAATTTGATCCCCCATTGTGGCTCCTCCCTATCCCAGGGGTCATCATTTGAACAAACTTGAATCTACACTACCTGAAGATGCTTCCATATCAATATGACTAAACATAACTTTTCTGTTCTTGAGAAGAAATATTTTTTCTATATGTTCTTATGTAAACTTTCCATCCCCGATTGGGCCCCATCCTACCCCTGGGGGTCACCATTTGAACAAAATTGAATCTACACTACCTGAGGATGCTTCCATATCAAAATGACTAATCATGGTTTGCAGTTCTTCAGAAGAAGATATTTTCCTTTATATTTCAATGTAAAACTTTGATCCTCACTTGTGGCCCCGCCCTACCCCCGGGGATCATGGTTTGAACAAACTTGAATCTACACTACTTGAGGATGCTTCCATATAAATATGACTCATCATGGCTTTGCTGCTCTTGAAAAGAAGATTTTTAAAGATTTTTCCTATATATTTCTATGTAAAACTTTGATCCTCCATTGTGGCCCCGCCCTACCCCCGGGGGTCATGGTTTGAACAAACTTGAATATGCACTACCTGAGGATGCTTCCATATAAATATGACTCATCATGACTTTGCTGTTCTTGAGAAGAAGATTTTTAAAGATTTTTCCTATATATTTCTATGTAAAACTTTGATCCTCCATTGTGGCCCCGCCCTACCCCCGGGGGTCATGATTTGAACAAACTTGAATCTGCACTACCTGAGGATGCTTCCATATAAATATGACTCATCATGGCTTTGCTGTTCTTGAGAAGAAGATTTTTAAAGATTTTTCCTATATATTTCTATGTAAAATTTTGATCCTCCATTGTGGCCCCGCCCTACCCCCGGGGGTCATGGTTTGAACAAACTTGAATCTACACTACTTGAGGATGCTTCCATATAAATATGACTCATCATGGCTTTGCTGTTCTTGAGAAGAAGATTTTTAAAGATTTTTCCTATATATTTCTATGTAAAACTTTGATCCTCCATTGTGGCCCCGCCCTACCCCCGGGGCTCATGATTTGAACAAACTTGAATCTACACTACCTAAGGATGCTTCCACATGAGTTTCATCTTTCCTGGCCCTATGGTTCTTGAGAAGAAGACTTTTAAATGATGCCATTATTTTTTCACTAATTCCTAATTATCTCCCCTTGGAAGAGGGCATGGCCCTTCATTTGAACAAACTTGAATCCCCTTTACCCAAGGATACTTTGTGGCAAGTTTGGTTGAAATTGGCCCAGTGGTTCTTGAGAAGAAGTCGAAAATGTGAAAAGTTTACAGACAGACGGACAGACAGACGGACAGACAGACGGACGCCGGACAAAATGTGATCAGAAAAGCTCACTTGAGCTTTCAGCTCAGGTGAGCTAAAAACTGTACAGCAGTACTTTATCACAGAATTTCCCTCAATTAAGGGAGATAACCACTCTTACCAATAAAGTAACCATAAATATTCGACTGCCAAATGTCTTCAATTCACTGACAATCTTCATGTAGTGGAGCTTGGCCTGCATGGATGACAGTTGTTTCTGGCCAGGAGGCGTCAAGTTCTGGTTCATCTTCATCTGCTGGGCCAGAATCTTCCGTAACTCCTTTGGTTTCAGGTGCTCTAGGTGACTATATGGCACAAATTTCTCCATCCCACACTCTTTCCTGAGAGTAGTTGAACAAACATTTACATATCACAAACATTTAATCTTTAAGTTTGGCATTGTGCTTGGTAACTGAATCTCATTTTTCAGCCTGATTAAAGCTAGACCTATACTGTGCACTGTACAGTCAAACCTCGTTATCTCGAACTCAATGGGACCAAGAAAAAACTTTGAGATAACTGAGGAATCAAGATATCCCGGGTAAAATACTTATGAATAAGGGGTTGGGACTTCTAAATCAGTTTTGGTATTCGAGATATCAGTGTTTGATATACCAAAGTTCAACTGTATTTGTCAAACTAATAGATCTGAATTACACAATGGTCTCATCTTACATAATCAATTTAAGTACATTTGAATATGCTTTAATTTGTTTAACATTGATCAATGATTATTTAACTAGGCAGAAATTTGCTATTACTTCCCGTTACTTACTCAATAGCTTTAATGTTGATCTTGCTGGCAACATTATTGTTGCTCATCACATGTTGCTGTATGTGCAGTGCAGCAAGCTTGTACACAAGTTCTCCCTTAAGTTCTGGAAACCTTTCATTTACCACATCATTACAACACTATATAAAAAAAAATAAAACTTTCTGATCAGAAAGGAAAGACTTCAAAAAGAACATTTAAGAAATGAAATATTGACTAAAAATTCATTGATCATAGTCTTGTTCATACCTCAGGCAGTTTTAAAAATGTTTTAACTCTTTAAAAAGAAGATCATTTCTTCAGTATAAAGATGTCTGTTAATCTTCTTTCACTTTAAATTTTCTCAATAAAATTTTTTAGTGATAAATATTTGCTATATAATTATGTTGAGGGTATGGTACTTACCTGCATATAAAAATATTCAAAAGCCACAGGATCTTCTTTGAGTAGATCATATGCATCAATTGGAACAAACATCACTCGGAAAAGACAGCGGAAATGTCTAGCACCTGGTTTGGCAGCGATCTGGTGGGAAATGATTTAGCACTCAAGATTAAGATTCAAGTCTAACAAATACTCAGTGATTAGTTTAAGAATTAATCAGACAAAATCTTGACTTTGCATAGTGCTATGAATTTTTTAAATTTTGTTTTTACTTTTGATAATCATAATCATATTCAACTTTATCAGACCAAATTGTAAGAATTTCTACCCACAGAAATTCCTTACTATCAGTATTTGACATAGTTACTTTATCTATAAGGTATATAAAAAAAAAGTACGGAGTATGTATTGAGATTAACAACTCTACCTCAGCAAGAGTGTCCTGTTCCTGGAGAAGGGTCATGTGACTTGGACTGTGGGACTTCATGTTCTGTAGCACCAAATTAAAATGTTGGACACACTTAATATTCAGCTTCTCCTTCAAGGACTGCACCACATCCTGAAAGGTTAAAATGTGCTTGTTAAAAAAAACAAGGCCCCAAGAGTTAAATATGATATAAAATGCATGCCAACCTTGTATCAACCTCTGTAATATAACCTTGTCTAAATATGATGCATATCTGCTTCCACCAGTGGATTGTGCATGCAAAATATGACATCTGCCTTGTTTATTTCAAAGAGTGATGACAAAAATTTAACAAACAAAACATCTTACATTGAAAAAACAAGAAAGACAAATCACTAGCAATTTGAATGCTTTTGTCACAGTATGGCTACATGTCGGTGATAAAAATTTTTGGTAGTATTTATTGAATTACGACACTTTTGAAAAAAAAGAATTCCTAGTTTTATTTTTGTATGGTATTTCTTACCTTCACAGTTGTCTTGTTGTCATATTTAAATGATTTGGTCTGTCCATTTTCAAGAAAAACTTTCAACACATTTGGCATGAAAGGAATATAACTCTCATCTGAATTGGCCTGAAAGTGTGCAATATTGTTATCTGACATTAACTTCAGAAATGCAAGGTTCTAGTGTTGGCTCACAGGCACTTGTTTCGGTAATAAATTTTTAACCCATAGATAATAACACAAGGTATCTAACTCACACGGAGTACCCCCCCTCCCCCAGAATCGCACTCATTTACACTTTCAGAGGAAATACACTGACAAACTGTTTATACCTATGTTTTCTACGATAATTTATCTACACAACCATATATGGCATGCTTGTCTTTATTTTCTTTAGTCTCCGTAAACAGCGTCAAAACTCTGCTCGTCGAGTGGAAAAGTCGAATTCAACCATGAAATGATATGTGCTAATCCCGCACAGAGATTTTGATTGGCTAAAAATCTGTTTCTAAAATTACATCGGATAAACATTGTAATGTTTTCAGGGAAAATCAGACATAAACAAGTTCTGTTTACTCATGCAATATTTAAACACTGGAATTGAATTTTTAAACCCACTCATTTTTTAATTTTGTTCTCTGTGCGGGATTTGCACATACCATTTCATGGTTGAATTCGACTTTTCCACACGGCGAGCAGAGTTTTGACGCTGTTTACGGAGACTAAAGAAAATAAAGACAAGCATGTCATATATGGTTGTGTAGATAAATTATCGTAGAAAACATAGGTATAAACAGTTTGTCAGTGTATTTCCTCTGAAAGTGTAAATGAGTGCGATTCTGGGGGAAGGGGGTACTCCGTGTAATTCGGAGTTAGATACCTTGTGTTATTATTATACTATGGGTTAAAAATTTATTACCGAAACAAGTGCCTGTGTGTTGGCTATTGGCTGAAATTTTGTAACAAAAAAATTATTATTCTTTTTAATTTAACTACAATTATGCACCAAAATGCACCCAAACATCTACTGTTTGGCACAATTGCAAACATTTCTGACATCTTAAAACTTCAATTTTAACTTAATTTCTAGCCCAAGTATTTTGCCAGTATCAGAACTAAAAAAACTTAATGCAATTCAAAATTTTTGTCAAGGAACTCCAATTCACTGGAATATTGGTATCACAGCACAGACCTACAATGAACAACTCTTATCTTGAATCTTTAGTAACTATAAAGCTAAACCATGACACAAAATATTATGGGAAAGCATGCTATACATTCCTTTAAAACGGAACTTCAGAGTTGATATTACTTTTCCCCCAGTTCTTTGTGTATTTGTACAATAAACTTCATGTTCATTTAAACAAAAACCCAAAATACTACTTCACCTGATTGTTCTCCTTGTTACAAATACATACAGAAAATGGCATCAAATAAGACTTTAGAACAATTTTTGTGGAAATTTGGATTAGCAGGGCAGGACAAATTAATTATTGTATGATCAATGTGAAAAAATCCTCAATGGTAGCAGACATTTTGTCTCTATGGAGACATAATCACATAGCTTACATTTTGTAATGGAGCACCGTTCACCATGGTAACAGTGACATTCTCGGAGAAGCGGACACGACTTGGATTACTTTTCAGCCTGGCCTTTTTAGCAGCTGTCAATAATGAAGACTTCTTTGTGGACTGTTAAAATAAAGCAGTAATTAAATCACAACTGTCCTCTGCCTCACTGCAGATTCAAAACTTTTTCAACGAAAATGTTACAAAATCATTCATTTTGCTAGAATGACGGAAGTGATGGCTTTTTCAAGCAAGCAAATAAAAGGACTGAAAATAAAATTAATCAATACAAGTAAACAAGGATTCTAGAGCAGTTTGCAGTGATGATCGGAGTGCCACAACAATCATATAAATTATATTTCTATCACATGCAAGTGATATTTTGTTATTTCTAGAGACAATTATAATCTACAACCTAAGTGTGTTCCATTACAGGAAACACAAATGTATTGCATCAACATAAGATCTCATTCCAAGCCAAGTGTCAGTTAGTTTTTTACTAAAACTTTAAAAGGTTTCAATTCATTTTTTTTTTACATCAATTAAGACACATGTGATATTCAAAATTTTTCATTGTCAATCAAAAGCTTTATTTTATGTTGAAAATGCACACTGAGATAAGAGATGTAAGAGTCGTGTTGTCAGTGCTTGTTTATTTTTCTACTGACCTGCATTTCTACCTACAGAGGAAAAGTTTAGTCTTTCTGAATTGAAGTTTGTTAAAATTTAGATTTCTTAAACATATCAATTTTACATAAAAATTACCTTCAAGCAAAATTTTAACCAGAAGCAAAATTTTGAAGAAAAAAAATACTTACATTATCTGAATAAGGCTGGCATACAGTCAATGAAATGGAAACTTTACATGACCTGCAACACAAAAATAGTATTTTACAATATGTTATTCCCTTAATATCTCTATTACTCCTTTTTACCCTAGTAAGTTTTTATTCACAATAGCAGTTCTAGGAATTACATCAGGCGTAGCTAATATTAAAAAAAAAAGTTTTACCATCGATAAAATCCAATTCAGATGCATAGTCTTAAGGAAGTCTGGCAGCAAACATCCAAGTATATACTGTATACAGGGAAATTTTCGCCCCCGTTTAATTTTCGCCCCTTTCCCCCTCGTCGCAATTGGGCGAATTTAAAATGGGGCGAATTCAAAGAAAATGGCATTATCTCTTAAACAAAAGTGTGTCTGGGCGAATTCAAAACGGGGCAAAATCGTTTGCAGGTGTAAAAGGGCGAAAATAAGACGGGGCGAAAATAACCCTGTATACAGTATCCACTGTGCAAGTTTAGACCATGTATGGCATATTTACTCAGCAAACAAACTTAAAATTTCAATTTCCCCAAAAATATATGTTAAATACTGCAACCAAATGTTTGCATCTCTAGAAGCATCACTCATGCAAGTTTGGACCACACAGGACTTAAAGCTACTTGTAAAAGATATGCTCCAAACACTTTGAATGCTCATACATTTGAAAAATAAAAGCTAAATGCAGCATCTTAATTACTTAAGTACTTTGCATCCTTAGGTGCATCATTCATTCAGATTTGGTAAAGGTAGGGATTACAGGGTAAACTTCAGAATCTCGATATTGGATAGGTCAATAACCTGGGTTATGTCAACATCCAACCGCTTCCCGGCTACATCTCCTACATGACTTGCAAACCTCGGATATGTCAACCTCAGTAATGTCAACTACCCTGCTTATACAGACATACACTCACAGTCCACAGAGCAAGATTTACCTGGTATGGGTTAACATCAGGACAATTTCTACTTTCCTAAATATAAGTGCGCGTCTTAAGGTCATTCATTACCCTTTGATGACCCCGAGTATCTTGACATCAAAAGAAATTCACACCTTACAATCTCCATAACTGCTTAATTTTAATTTTTTTTTTGACTGCATACTGCTTAATTTTCTAATGACCTTGTTTTTAAATGAAGTCCAAGCACCCTTGGACACTGACGAGATGTTAACTGATTAACAGTATGTGTATATCATTGATGCACATGCTTTCAAATGCGAAAATATACATATTTTTCTTAATATATTGAAACCTATGATAAATTTAATTTGAAAAAGGCAATTGAATTACAATAGATTGAAACAAATTTGATCTAATATAAACAATAAATTATGTAAGAAATTAAACAAGACTTATTTTTGGAATTTGTGGTAAATTGCTTTCAACTATTAAAATCCACCAATAAACAAGAAATACTAAACACATTGAAATGGTGATTCATTCAAATAGCCATGATTCAAACATAGGTTATGTATCATTATCTGTGTAAGTTCAAGTACTTAAACATGTTTTGTTCTTACAAGTTTTCTTTCTTAATAATTTTTTTAAAAATTGTAGGTTTGTCTCCCACAGGTGCCAACTTTGTACAGTTCATGTTTCAGCAGCACATTTCTTATTTCTAACAAAAGGGTCATATATATGCATGAAACATTCTTAAATGGCTTTATGTGAACTCACAAGTTAAATTATATGATAAATAAAATATACATGTACTACATATTAAAATCCATATCATATGTCATATCAGCCCAAGTGGCCCTGATATGGGGCCACTCAGGCTGATATGAAATATGATATGGACTTTAGTATGTAATATTCTCTATTTAATCTGCTGCAAAAGAGTGTTATGAACTCTTGTTTTTCTTGTCTGTACCTGACTAGATCTATAACATATTCTCTAGGTGAATTTTTCACATCCTCTCCATTAATTTTGATAATTTGGTCTCCTGGCAGAAGTTTGTCAACACTAGGACCCCCTGAAGAAAAAATTTGATTCAAAATCAATTTATAATTAACTAACACATCTTAATACTTATTTAATGAATACATGTACATGTATTAACTTTGAAAGAAAAGCAATGCACTATTTCACTATTTCAGATTTAATAAACACAAAATATGACCTTATTAGTATTCAGCTGATTCATATAAAATTGAAGTCATTTGCTTACATATGAATGGTCTAATGCTACATCTTGCATGGTGTCCAGCAGAACACTTTTATATAGATCTATTAATGACTTAACCATATTATCTGAATCAGATAGTTTCTCTGTTTGAAAAATGGGTTAAGGTAAGCACTACACTCTGAATAATTTCATATTTCTTGACTATTATTTCCCTAAACTTTAAAAATTTTTCCTTGCCAGAGAGGGGGGGGAGGGATCTAAAGCTACGAACATTCACTGACCATCTGTCACGAAGCGCACCACCACTGGTTTCTCACTCCCAGCCACGAAACCAAACCCTTTCTGTGGATCCCTATTTAGAGTAATCTCCCTTGGTTTTGGAGGTTCCACATAATCCGGATCATCACGTGGATCATCTCGTGTTGTGTATTTTTCTAAATGACTGCAAAAAAAAAAATTAAAAGTAGAACATACTTTAGAAAATAATTATACTAATCAACTTTCTAATCAGCACTGAATTTAAAACCTTAGAAATTTCACAGTAATCTCAGAATTGGGTGAACTTAAACAATTTGTTGCATTTCTAAGATATAGACTTTTGTCAAGTATGGGCCTCTTGTGCTTTCCATCAATTGTTATGGAGGAGATATACATTTTACACCTGTGATATTACCTTGTTTAAATGAGCTTGGCTCAGGGTAATGAAAGGCTCTTTGATTGTATCTACCTTAGCAAGTAAGACCTGCTTATGCTCTTATTGAACAGATAATAAATTTAACATCTTTCAGCTGTCTTAAGTCATCTATCTTTTCTATCATCAACCCTCCCTTTTTTCTCCACCAAAATCATTTGATTTAGAGAACGACACAGCACTGGACAAATATGATTGAGATAAGTGAAGCAGTTGCATTGATTGGCCAAGAGAAACTAATCAAACAAGAAGTTAGAGGGCAGTGGCCCCGTTTTTCCATTAAATTGGACTGGACAGGCCTAATACCCATGGCAAATATAGAGAGCCATATTGACGTTTCGAAGACTAAACAGGATATGTCCATTTCATTGAAAACATTTACATGCCATGAAATGATAATAGTGAAGTATTGACTTCTACAATGTTTTGAATTCTAATGTGAAATACTGATTGTAAGTTGTCAAGTATGAAATCTTACAAACCACGACAAAAAATCTAGTGTAAATTTATCTCTGTCACCTAAGGCAAGTCCCAGCAAAAAAAAAAAATTACATTCAAACCTCATTATCTCAAACTTAATGGAACCAAGAAAAAACTTCTAGATATCCAAGGATTTGAGATATCAAGGGTAAAATACTAAAGAATAAGAGGTTGGGACTTCCAAATCACTTTGACATATCCATGGTATTCGAGATATATATATATATATACATGTATACCGTAAATCTGGAAATTTTTACGTCGATTTATTTTTGCGAATCTGGGTTAAAAGTCTGTTGATTAATTTTTACGTTTAAAATTTTTGCGAATCGTCATTTGAACTAAAATATAAAAAGCTCTTAAAATTTTCTTGAACGTGTGTAAGTTACGCATGTACATACAATAAATTACGAATAAATATACAATATTAAACTACGCCAACGTTCAATATTCAGATAAAAATATTAGAAAAAATAAATCATCCAACGTGTTGAAAGTTTTCATAACATTTTCATGAATCACACATGTACATAAAATATATATAACGATGTAATCTTTAGATAAAACATTTATTGTTGTTGATTTATTTTTAAGAAAAATATTTTTGCGAATGCACTGCATGCGCAAATTTGCTAAAAATTTATCTACAGCAAATATTTCCAGATTTACGGTATATATATACTGTAGAAGCACAATTTTTTGTGGGGATAAAATTTCATTGATTTGTCATCTAAATAGGTAAAATGACTTATTAGTGGTATTCATGAATTAGCGCATTGTTGTCCACTCCAAAAGCCACTAAAATTTTAAGTACACATACAGTAACTGCTACAGAGAGAGAAAAAAAAACATCTATAATTTTTATTTGGAAAGCATTTTCTTACATATCCTGCCATACTTACATTCTTAAATATATTGTATTACATAAGAATTAGATATCTGTGCATCATCACTCAGAACACCAAGGTAATGCTATACATCACCAATTGTGTTTGGTAGTAACTGTTGAATCTAAGGAGCTTATTTTCTAATTATTAATTATCGCACGCTTCACATTTCATTTTCCTGCATTATATACCCTGTGTTTGCTAAAAATACATCTAGTGTAAAAAGTCAAGATATTTTTAGGGTTGGCAGTAAGAATACAGTTAAACTAAAAATAAGAAACTTTTTCTCAAAGTCGTTTCGTAAATGTTATAGTCTGCCCCACATAAGTGCTTCCATCACAATTCAAATGATGACAAATAAATTTTGATTTTATCATTAAACATTGGAGCTTCATCACTTCCAAACCAGTTTAACCAGATAATACATACAAGTATTACAGGATTTTCAAAGTCTATGGTGTACTTATTTCCACAGATTTTATGAGTGTGATGTATTGACGATTCCGTACATGTACTACATCATTAAGTTATTTATAACAAGCAACGGAAAATCATGAATAATGATGTATCCCTTTCTGAAGTAGCAGCCATTCTCACAATGTTAAATCTCCATAGACTTTGAATTTGCTGTCATGTCAATATACTGTAAACATACTTTTTTCCACAGGGTCATAATTCCTCAGAATCACAATTTCTGTTCAATCCATGATTTCTCAGATTGTCACTATATGCCTTATAATACTATAAGTAATTGCTGGGACAAATTTCCTTGGAAAATTTGTGACATATATAGTGTAAAATTAATGCGATGTGGAAAAATGTACTTCTACAGAATCGGTTGAACTTGATGCTTCATAATATCAAAGCATGATGTTTGGAAAAAGTATTTTAAGGCATAATGCAAAAAGTGCTATCCTTGATACACTGGGACAGACTGTAACACAGTTCTTAAAATGAGAGCAAATGTTGCAAGAATATGCATGTGCAGAAATACCATTTGCTAAAAAAGTGTACATACTGCATGTGAACTTTTTAGATGAATTCATTTGATTTGGCACAGTTATTCAGAATTACCATCTATCCATTAATATATTCATCTATCTGTATCTATAATAGTATTATCTATTTTAATACTGATTGTGACAATTTATGTCTGTGCAAAATGCATATAGTGGATTACCTACACTAAATTTTCTAATGTGCTAAATCTTGATTATACAATTATTAGTATACATGTACATTTAAGTATACACTTTTTCTATAGAAGTAAAATTGCCAAATATTACCATCACAAATGCTAAATACATGTATTGTATTTGACATTGCCCCAGTATACTGAGGTACCTACTTGATGTAGTACTGTTTGTCATTTTTGTCTATTGCACATTCCCATCCATAAGGTTGTCCTCCTGTCCCTGGGTCCCAGTGCTCCAGAGGAGGAATCCAGGAAGAGACCTGACTGTTGTGACTGAAAATACAAATGACCATTCATTAATAAATAATACATGAATAGTTACAAACAATGATCCAAAGACAGCAATGCTCAAAATAATCTTCATTATTAATCTTTTGTGATCATAACTATAATCAGAAGGCATGATTTGGAGAATTCATTAATTACATCTTAATTGATTCTACCATAACACTTTAACAAATGTAGCCAAGGTTAAAAGTGCAGTCTTTTTATAAAATAATTAGAAGTCCCTAATGAGACTGTAGCTCTACTGGTCTTTTATCATATAATAAAGGAAAAGAAAAGCAGCCTCTAGATTTTAAATGTTATTCTTAGTCTTATATTTAAAAAAAATGTATCCAGTTATTTTCTAAATGTATATCAATTTTATTAAAATCAAATTAAACCTGTAGGTGGAGTAGCTTTTGCAGAAATGTGGTTTCCACCTGCAGAGCTAAAAATGGGGATTCCTCCCTGATTCAGTTTAGTACACTTATCCACTGCATATAAGTGATATATCCTTTTCATCAAATCTGTATCTATTCCCTGAGAGTTTGTCCCAGGGAAATAACTCCTGTAAAGGGTTTGATGAAAGAGCTATCTCACTCATGGACTGTGGATAAGCATTTTATCATACTGATATACATGTTTTTACTAAGGGGTGGACAGTGGAATTACTATACTGTAATTTATCCATTGAATGAAAGTGATACTTTTTGAAGTGTTATCTTAGAAAATACTTTCTGTTATAAGAAAGCAAGAGTAAATAACCCATCCTGACATAAAACTGCCAAAGTTTCTCCAAATTGTTTGCAATTTTCAATCTCACAATCACTTAGCTGATATACCACACTATAATGCTATACAGCACTGCATTATGAAAAGATGGAGGCAAAAGGAAAATTACAAAAAAAAAAAGTAATAAACAGAAAATTTAATGTCTTGTAGTTGGATATTGTATTTTTTCACTTTTGAGAAGGGATATTTTTTTTCAAATTTACACTAGCTCGTTCTAACAGCACTTGTGAAAAAAAAAATCCTGTCCCAATCGTGCAATAAATTCCATATTCAACTACAAAACATTGAATATCTTCTTTTCCTACCACATATCTTCTTGTGTATTAATTTGACAATTTCAATTTTGTTGTTCTACGAAGAATTCAAAGACTTTTTCTCGCTTATTTCTTTCAATTTAAAAAAATTTCATCAACTGAACCTCCATGGTAGCTTCACATAGGTCTTAATCAGTTAAGACTTGAATGGAATTGAAACTATTTAAAAGTACCGTAACACTAGAATGTTTGATACACATTTATTAAGTTGACAAGATATAGTGTTCTTTTTACTGAGATGATATTAAATGGTTTTCCTATCCATAGCTATACATGTATAAACATTAAGACCATAATTATCCTTTCCTATCCCCAGGGGTGCAAAAAATGAGAAATGTTTAAACAACGTTATTGGAGGGACACTGTCCTTCATTTGAACAACCTGAATTCTGGTATGAGATGAGGAATACTGCAAAAAAAAGTTATGTGAAGAATTAGACTTTGATGTGTGAACCATCCATCACTTCTTGATTAATTTCCTCTAAAAAGATTTTTGCCACTTCATTTCATTTACTTCCAATCTTCTTCAGAACTTTCATTTTCCAATAAGTTGATTAATGTTCCATAATCTCTTTCCAGAGTAAATCAATGTATGTTCATGAAAGGGGTTGCATGTTACATGTAAAATGAAAAATCCCTGGGCTAACTCACACACACACAACAAAAATAGAATTAAGCATCAGAGATGAAGCCTGAAGCACAATTATTCAAGGAACACTGAAATATTTCAGGTCTTTTTTATAAAGGGAAAGATTAAACCCAGAAGCATCAGAAAAAATAATGGACAATTTCAACATGCCAGATTTTATTTTTTTTTCTTGCTATAAAATCATGATTCATAGTTGTAAAAAATCAGCATGAAATGCACTTCAAACACTAGCAAACATAAAACAAACAAAATATATTACATAACACTTTCAGGTACATCCTACCTTTTGTAATATATATATATATATTTTTTTTTTTGGGGGGGGGGGGCTATCTTCTACATTACAAGAAAGATGAAAGTTTCTACATTAATTTACAGGAAACAGCTTTTTAGCCTTGGTTTTTTTTTTAATTAGCATGTGACTTAAAACTGAAAAAATGCTCAAATTTGCTTAGGAAAAAAATGCATCCTCAAAAGGAACTAAAAATGATTTCAATATTATTAACTTAACTGCATGCAAAGTTCAACTAAACATTTATGTCACTTTAAAACAATTACTCACATTTGTTCACTTGGATATGCTTTAACCTGAGCAGCAGACATGCAGTTGCAGTGCTTGGTTATTCCCTTTCCAGATGCATGCTTATTTCCCATACTTTTTTTTTTCTAATATAGCAATCAAATTTCTATTTTGCAGGTGCTTTAAATACAATTCTAGGAACACACACACAACATTGTAACCTTTTTGATCCAAACACAACTCCTATCTGATTCCAGAGCCTTAATATTAATAGATAGCTCTGTATTACTCTTTCGATCGTTTTATTCAGAATTTGTATTGGAAAATGTATGAAGATTTGTATTGGTCACTGAACTGGGGATAATTAGCAGATTCATCAACTGATGTCATAAAGTAATACTTCAACATTAAGATGATTTCACTTATATTAAATGAATAATACTCCCACCTGATTTGCCACCCATGTACTGAACACTTGCTAAGATTTATGAACTTTAATTATTGTTAATTTTTTTTAATCAAACCTAGAAATATGTCCACAGGACATGAAGCCCCATCCAGGGTTCATTAGTAATGCAACATGAAAATTTGTATTAGTGTAGGAAGTTTGATGAAAATACCTTGAATAGTTTCTTTACAACTGAGTTTAATACACAATTAATAATTAAGTCATAGGTCATTGGGAAGTTCAAGGTAGAAAAAAAATGGACACTCTTGATAAATTATCACCAAATAATGTATTAGCGCATAAGCTTACATAAAAAAATATCTGGAATAGTTTCTTTGAGCACCCTCCCCCCAATTTGAGAAAAGTGAGGTCAAGGTCAAAGAAAAGGTCAAGGTCAAAAATGTTGATGAAGTTGAATAGCTAAACTCTATGTATTAGTATATGAAGTTTGATAAAAATATCTTGATTTGTTTCTTTGAAACTATACTAATCACAAATTTGAAGTCAAGGTCAAAGAAAAGGTCAACGTAAAAAATGTTGATGCAATTGAATAGCTCTCATCAATGTGTAAAAGCATTTGAAGTTTGATAAAAATATCTTGATCTGCTTCTTTGAAACTATGCAAACACAAATTTGAGGTCAAGGTCAAAGAAAAGGTCAATTCAAAAATATTGATGTCATTGAATAGCTCACATCAAAATGTATAAACATATAAAGTTGTGATAAAAATATATTTGAAAATTAGCTATACACAGATCTGAAGTCAAGGTCAAATGAAAGGTCAAGGTAAAAAATGTTGATGTAGTTGAATAGCTCTCACCAATATATATATCAGCATATTAGGTTTGATTAAAATATCTTGAATAGTTTCTTTGAAACAAAGCTTAATGCTATTTTATGAAAAGTTAGGTCAAGGTCAAAGGAAAGGCCAAGGCCAAAGACTATTGATGCAGTTCAACAGCTCTCATCAATATATACAGAAGCATATAAGATTTGACAGAAATATCTTAAGTTTCTTTGAAATTGAGATAATCACTTATTTAAGAAAGCCAAAGGAAAGGTCAAAGTCAGAAAATGTTGATGCAGTTGAATAGCTCTCATCCATATGTATCAGCATATGAAGTTTGATAATAATATCTTGAATAGTTTCTTTGAAACTTACCTAAACACAAATTTAAGAGAAGTGAAGTCAAGTTCAAAGGAAGGATCAAGGTAAAAAAAAAAATAGTGAGGAAGTTAAATAGCCCTTATCAGTATGTATCAGGATATAAGGTTTGATAAAAATATCTTATACAATTTCTTTGAAATTGAGCTAAACACATATTAAAAGAAAAGTGAGGTCCACTGGTCAAACGAAAGGTCAAGGTCAAAAAATGGTGATGCACTTGAATAGCTCTTATCAATATGTACATGTATCAGCAAATGAAGTTTGATAAAAATATCTTGAATAGTTTCTTTGAAACTGAGCTAAATGCAAAGTGTGATGGAAGGACAGAAAGACAGAAGATGACATGACAAACACTATATGCCCAGGCCATATTCATGGTGGGGCATAAAAATAGATTACCACCTTGAGTATTACTAAATGAAAACACTATTTTTTAAGTTTTACATATGAAGAAAAATATGTACAAGGATATTTTCTAAACTTGTAACAAGTTTTTGAAATTAAATTAAACTTGTAGGAGGAGAAACTATCATCAAAAGATTCAGGAAGCTATCACTTAAGTTCAATCTTTACTGGTTCAGTGGTTCTTGAGAAAAGATTTTTAAATGATCCCACCCAATTTTTACTATTTCATAATTATCTTCCCTTGGCAGGGAATGTGGCCCTTCATTTGAATAAACTCGAATTACATTCAACCAAGGATACTCTGTGCCAAGTTTGGTTGAAATTAGCCCAGCGGTTCTAGAGAAGATGAAATTGGAAAAAGTTTAAGACGACAATGATGACAGACAACAGCTAAAGGATCAGTGCACTTAAGCTATGAGAGTTGGATCCCGGTTCTTTGCCAATAATAAATTTCCGAAATTTATAAATTTTTTGAATCAAAATTATTAAACAATTTCTTAAGAGCAGGGTTTGATATATTATATCACATAAAAATATTAAATAATGCCGAGCGACAGTGGTTTTTGCGACAGGGGTCTAGCAGTTTTGTCACATTTCTATTGTTATTCATATGCATACCAGTTTTCAACGACATTGTTTACATCGAGCCGCAACTTGTCCATTCTTCTCATTTGCACAGAATGTGTATTTTGATTTAAACTTAAACATATCCA